CACACACACGGACATGCGTACGCACACACACACGGACATGCGTACGCTCACATGCACACGTTCACACACGGACACGCCCACATGCTCGCACAGACACGGGCACACATGGACACGCTTACGCCCAGATGGACACGTACGCTCACATGCACACGCCCATATGCCCACACAGAAACGGACACGGACATGCACATGGAGACACATGCTCGCACACGGATATGCACACGGACACGTATGCTCACACACGGACATGCACACGCCCTGACATTGGCTTGACATCCCCCATGCTCCCCTCGTCACTTCACCACGAGCCAATCAGCCTCAAACCGGGGAGGGGGAGTGGGAAGGGCAATAGAGGCGGATGCAGAGGCAGGTAGGAGGGAGCTGAGGCTGACAGAGGGTACAACAGCGAGCCTGTAATGTGGGGCAGCCAGAAAAGGGGATGGGTGGAGAAGGACAGGGAGAAAACGTTTCAGACTTGTCAACAGAATGCTCAATAACCTGGGAGGTGGCAAACGCTGAACTCATTGAGGCGATGCATTACTTGAAACTGAAAGTGGAATCTCTAGCTTAAGGCTGCGTAAGCGCAGCAGTTACTATTTGGGGTGAAATCTGTTGGATGTTTTCATAAGAAACAGTTTGTTGTTAAATTTGAATTAAATGAGATCAGAGAGATACAGTAATGGCCTGTTTAATATCTGCTGGCTCTGTGTTCAGGGTGACGGCTCATTTTGTGTAGAAGTGTCTCCGAGTAATCAGAATGAAACATTTTATAGTTAACGTAAGATGCTGTCTCAGGCCAACGTAAATAAATGTGGTGTGTTGGAAATTATTACTTTCCATGTGGCTCTAACTTGATAAGAGGCTTAGATCATTCAGGCTATGGTGAACAAATTCTTTAATGCTGCTTCTGTGCAGGTCTAAACGACACGACCACATCGGCTCCGAGACGAATTAGTGAGGGTGAAAAAGGCCCCCTCCCTCACATTGTTACCCCACACCCAGCTCCCCACAGACAACACCCCCCCCGCCCCCCCACCACGGCTTTAGCCTTCCTTGCTCATGGCCTTACCCCCCACACCCCCACCCCCGCGGCGATCACTTGCCTGGCACCAACAAGCTGCTGAAGCCCCGGCCGTGGCCAACCCCCAGGACATCCTCGAAGGGACAGAACTGGAGGCCGTGCACCCCCTGGGGGAGAGAGTGGGTCAGGTACGGTTTTGACACAGTTGCGTGGTGAATGTCTTTGTAAACCTGCCAGGGGTGGGGGGGCGGGAGGGAAACAGAGAGAGTGAGAGATGGCAATGGTGCGTCTGTCCAAGTGAGCGAGAGAGCGCGCAGGACAGAGAGAGGGGGAGACGGGCGGAGGGGGAGACGGGCGGAGGGGGAGACGGGGAGAGGCAGAGGCAGAGCGAGAGAGCGAGACAGAGGCAGAGAGCGCGCGACGGTGATGGTGTACCTGTCCGTCAGGGTGAAAGGGGTGGCGACGGGGGGGGGGGGGGGGGGGG